GTGTGTGTGTGTGTGTGTGTGGAGAATGAGAGATAAAGAGGGAGGGGGGGTATCAGCGACATTCTGGATATTTGTTCTCTTCATGAGTGCACACATACACACACATTGACACTGGCTTTGACGCATGCAACTCACATTTCACAACCGATTTGGTATGCTTCACAATTTCCTGGCTTTGCGAAATGCCATCATTCATAAGGCCGGTGAAAGGAAGGAATTGCCGTTGGTTTTATCCGAGGAGTACACTCATACACACCTAATCTTCCCCGTGCCGGTGCAATCCATCTTGTTTTTTTTAAGTCTGTGTTTTCACAAAGCGTTTTTGTGCACCACTGAGCGTTCATGCGACCGGCCTCTATCATGAGCGATACTCGATACTCATTTCTTGTGTTTTTTACCTCATTAATCTAAGTGAATCATTCTCTCTGTGTTTGTGTGTGTGCACGTGTGTGTAAGTTATTGACTCTGGTGCAGTTGCCTTTTCCCAAGTCAAGCCTAATCATGTTACAGTGCTTTGAGATAATGATCTATATCACACACACTCACACAGTGAAACGCCCACCGGCCTGCATGTCATACTTGTCAACGCTCCGTTGGCATAAGCAGCCGTGTGTGTCACTCTGCCTTGTGTTTTGGCTTTTTCTCAGTGTGTTTCTAAAGAGCCCGATGGCTGTAGTTACCTCCAGAGATGTGTGTGTGTGCGTGTGTATGTGTGTGTGTATTCATGTGTAGAATCTTTGCTGTTGTGTAGGAGAAGAGATGATGTTGGGCTGCTTTTTTTTTTTTTACATTGCTACAGGTGGGCGTTTTCAGTGCATTGTGGTGGGAAAAATGATTTTCTTCTGTGATTTTGTGTCAGTGTATAGTTTACGTTGGTTAGGGTGTGTGGTGCAAGAATATAATGTCCGGTTTAATACAACCTTGCTGTATGGAGAGTCTTTATTTTTTAGTGTGCATGATTTTCAGGGCAGCGGAGACATCTTTGTTTTGGCTTTAGAAAATGCAAGAGGCTATTTTATTCTGAAACTATATTGGAACATTTACCTTAATTTGAAATGTAAACATGAAAATCTTAAAAACTTGGGTGATAAGATTTGATGGCTGAAGCCCAGACTGATGCTGTGTTGAAAAACTTTTTCTGTTACTGTTTCCTAGCACTATGTTTTAATAGGTAACTTAAACAAACAGTGTTTCTTAGTATTAGTCTGCAACAGAATGGTTTGACATGTTCATCATCCAAGGTCTTTACAAAAGAAGTTTTGTTTTTGTACATTGCACAACTTTCCATCAGTGTTTATATCTCATGATTATTAATAACCCATCTATGTGTTCCTCTCACCAAGCATTTACCTATGTCTTTTTGCATCCCTCTCCAGCAGAGCTCCAGTAACGGAGCTCCAGAGGGCCACAAGATGAACGGCGGCTCCCTCAGCCCAGAGGTGGTGGAGGAGCAGCGGTTGGCCGATGGCAAGCGTGTTGGCCGGGACCCCGACACCCGATCAGTGTCCCTGCTAGAGCAGAAACGCAAAGTGGTCTCATCCAGCATTGATGTGCCTCATGCCAGGTAAGGCAGCGTATACATTCTCAACATAATTTGTGTTAAATACAGCAGCATTGGATGGGTTTTTTACTCTGCACAAAAGTGATAGCTGTTCTTACACAAAAATGCTGGGCATATTTATGTGTTTCTTGGCTTTAAGGCAACAGTAATTGTCTGTTTTATCTTTAGCTGTGGAGCAGGAAACACATACAAGAGGGTAACTGATGTGATTTACTATGTTAATTGACTCTCAGGGCCTCGAGTCCTTGTTGCACCACTTCTACAATTTTGGAAACCACCAGAGGCATGTAATTTAACCATAATTGCTCTAGAAAGTAAAGGCTATAACATGGGATTCAAAAAGTGGCATTTTGCACACAGTCCTTCAATATTCAGGACATGGATACACTATTACACAAACTAGACTTTTGCACGGGATTAAAAATTCATTGATGGCATATGATAAAATATACAGTCTGTGTAATATAGTAAAAGTGGATTCCTGTCGAATTACATTGTATCCAGATGGTAGCTTCAAAAATGGCTTCAAGGATTACATGGAAAAAATGTGACATAAAGTCAGTCATCTTTGTAAGATGTTACATCCATGTCATTAACCTGCAATGAACTTTGTGAACTCAAGCCAAACTTCCTCTAGGATAGAAATCAGACTCTCACTGACAAAGAACTGGAACACACACACACACACACACACACACACACACACACACACACACACACACNCACACACACACACACAGGTAATTACTTACACGCAGGTACATGTGTATAAAAACACACACACCCACATGCACATTTTACATCTTAGTGAGGACATTCATTGACATAATACATTCCCTATCCCCTTACCCTAACCTAAACCATCCAAACTAAATGTCTAACTCTTACCCTGACTTAATTCTAGCCCTAACCCTAAAACCAAGTCTTAACTCTGAAACAGCCCATTGAAAAAGTGAAGACCAGTCAAAATGTCCTCACCTTCCAAAAACGTCCTCACTCTGTAGGGTCTATGCTTAAAATGGTCCTCATAAATATATATGTACAGGAACAAACACACACACTGTACATACATGTACACACATGCACAGACAAATATTATTTTAAGAAAGTCAACGCAACACAAACTGAAGCTTGTCTGCAACAGGGCAATTACACTTTAATAGGCAGCAGTGCTCTCCAGTGAAGAGCGGTTTAATAAAGAAACAACACTCTTTTACTTTAAAAACACTAATAGGTTGTAAAGCACTGTTATTGAACATCACTCCCCATTACTGCTGGATGAATCCAATCGATGGCAACTTGCTGAAAAGTACAGTTTAAAAGTCGCCCAATCGAGCAGCTTTGTCCCTGCACCCTGAGCCGTGCTGCAAACAAAATAGTTATTTGCTGTTGAAATATAGATTAGGTTCTTTCTTGTTGTCCATTAAGAGGAAAAAAACTCCCTTTAAATTGTATCTATAACATGGATTAGACCGAAGTTTTACAATTGCACCAATAATAATTATCTACTTGCATAGGGATTGCAATAATATTGATATTTATGTGGTTATTGTGGAATAGCTTATTGATTTTCTCAGTGGCCTTGCACAATTTCTGCTGCAGGGCCGACTGCTTGTCTCAAATACCTTATAAATTAGAAATTACATTCACTATTTAAAGCTTCACATATTTTCACTTATTGATATAACCACACAAAATGTGTCAGGATGTGTCTGTTGCCAAAATCCAAATACCAAGGTTTTCTTTGTCCAGTACAAAAACTATAAATAGAAGTAAAATTTACTATTTGTAAGAAGCTACCGGTTTATTTAAAGTTTTACTGGTTGTTACCTCTACCTCAGTAATTTCGTCACCTACTGCCAGGTAAGTTAAGACAATGTGTAGATAGAAGAACCTTTGCATTAATAAAAGCAACCTGGATGGTGTGTGGTTTCAGCAAATGTGGCACTGTTTTAATTTTTTTGATAAAACTATTCTCATTTAAGTTTTTGCCCTTCTTAACAGTTACAGTGTATAGAGACACAAGAAATATGGGAAAGAGAAGCGTATGACCTGAAGCAAAGGTCCCAATGTTGGAATCTATCCTTTGATTTTGCAGTTACTCTGCGTGGTTTATGCCTTAAACATTAGGCAGTTGTTGTAGAGATGTCACAATGCATTGGTTGCTGCCAAAATTCTGATAGTACTTGTTTTCCTAGATGTCATAGATGCCAGAGATGATTCCTTCTGGACTCATAATGGCAGCATTATAAGCTGCCACGTGTTCTGATGTCAAACTTGAAGAGAGATGGAATAAGGCTGTAATCAATAACCAAAACACATGGAATCGCAGCACCATGTGCGGGTGTAGACACAAGTGTTATATGTGATATATGTAATAACTTGCCAAGACTGCCATATGTAGAAATTATGCTTGTGAAGCAGATCATCAGGGACAGATTATAATATAGATAACCAAAAGCCTTTGTGCAAATTGTAGTGTGGAAACTATTCAAACTCATCTAAGCACCTGGATCTGTACAGAATTCAACAGAATTTCAGTTATTAATTTTGTAATCATAATTTATCATCAAAATGTCCATACGTTGAAATACTCTCTGTGTCCCTCCATATGGCACTGAACGTTTAGTCCATAATCTTTTCAGTGACTGATCTTTTAAAATTGGGCAGTCAAATTAAACCCTGTTCTTACACATTTCCTACTTAAAATATGAAATATCTTCATAATTAAAGTCCACTCAGTCCGTCCCTTCTTTATGTCATGGGAGGTTTTTTTTGTGTGTTAATGAAAAGTCCCCCGTTTTTTTTTTTTTAACGGCAAAGACTTGACATCTACTTACTTAGTGTATATCACTTCAAAGCTTGGTCCTCAAAATCTATTGTGCTTGTCAAGTGTTAAATCAAACCCTCTGCAGAACCAGACTTCAGAAAAAAAAAAATCAATTTCAGCCCAGTTTATAAATTGCACTTGCACAATCAAGAACATGGAAAGTTCATTCGCGCCATATCTCAGGAGCTTGAAGGAGGCCAAGCTCTTTTTTTTTTCAGATATCCCTATGTTGACCTCTTCAGCACACAGCCCCAATATTGCCTTAAGATTAAGATCCATGGCTCTTATCCTCTGCACACCTGCGACCGATTTTCAGCCCGGCTCCAGCACCAGAGAAGAAATGGTGTCACCCCCCAACCACCAAGTAACGTTTATCTTTAATGGCGACAAGGGGGAGAGAAGGAGGGAGGCAGGATGCTTGAATGGACGGTGAAAAAGGGGACAGGGAAGTAACCTGGAATGAAGGAAATGTAGAGAAGGGCAGGAGGGTGAAGGAGCTGGAGAGAGCATATGTAAGAGTGTAGATAACAGCTAAAGAGAGAAGAGTGAGAGAATAATTTACCAGGAAAATTTCTGACTGTTTGATGGCTCTCCGGGTCCCTTGTAACCCAGATACAATAGGTTTCTCACCTCCCTGGGAGCCACTGAAGTACCCCAATGCCCCTGCAATCATTGGGGAAATAGAGGAAAAATGACAATGTGCCGTATAGATGTTAGACCTCAGGGGTTTTGTGTAGCTACATTTCATGGGTCTGTCAGCTGGCCCACCTCCCATTACTTTATCGAGTAGCTTTCCTCATCGTATTTGTTTACAGCACATTTACTACTCCCGCATTTTCTCAGATCTTGCGCCAAAAAATCAATAAGTGTCATTCAATGATTGACCTATTTTCTGCATTGCCCCAACTCCCAAATGGTTCCCTTTATGAAACATTTCTTAAATGTGCTGTGGCTAAAGATTCAGAGGCAGGAATTGCTCGCTGTGGCAGATTTGTTGATGCCATACTTATTGTGTGATTATGTCTTTACTGAATGCTCAGACATCTCTACACACTGACAGACTGTGGTTCTAGCCAACTGCTGGGTCCGCTCCTTTCTCCAAGGGTTACGTTTATTCTATGCAGGAAACAGTCAATTGTAACAAGAGCTTGCGGGGGCAGACCAGTGGAAACGAATGACTTGGCTTTTGACAAATAGTGTTCTGAAGACTAATTGCTAACAGGGGAAGTGAAGTATAACCTTAGTTGAAGGGGAAATCAAGAGAATGCTGTGCTTATTATTGCAAAACCCCAAAACAACAGATCTGGGGGTTCAAACCCTCTTCTCCTCTGACCGCCAACAGTTCAAACCAAGTTTGCTCACGTTTCTGGAAATAACAGGATCCACTGCTGGCACTCCATGATGTTGTACATTTTACGTTCTCTTTATAACTTCAAGCCCAACACAATGACCCCATTTAATTTGATTTATCGTAGATGATCTCCATTTCTTGTTAATGTAGAGCAAGGCGGCTGGTGGGGTGAGTGGGTTATTTGGGCAGTTTGTTGATCACTTTTATTCATTTTTTTTGTCACATGTTGAGCAAATCATGTGTTCCACACTGAGCCTAGAGCATCAGCCAACTCCAACGGGACTAAAGACTTCCCATCCTGAGAAAAAAAAGGAGTTATTGTTGTTTGTCTTTTGATAAAGTGACACAGCTCTGTAAACAGCCAGTTTCTCTCTGCTAGTGGCTTTGTTTCTTTATTTTCTGTCTTACCTTTTTGGAAACACTGTCACTGCTTGTACTCCTTTTGCACAACATGTTTATGTTTGTGGTGAAAGAGGGTGTTCGTGTTTCGAAATAAGAGAAAGTAGGGGAGGACTGAGTGTGGGCACGAGAGCAGTGTTGGTCTCCATAGAGTGAGTGACAGAGCGCGAATGGGAAAGATACTCAACATTTGCCAAAGTAAACAGTTTTCCTGGTTTAGATGCCAGTGGAGTTCAGAAACCGTGTGATTACCATCTGAAAAGACAGCCCTCACAATATCTCTTGTCCTCTCGCTCTCCCTTTCAGTTCAGTGCTTTGCTCTCGCAGTCTCGATGTCCTTGTTATCTGATTGAACACTTGAGGTTTTCCACAACATTTACTTGACCAACCAAGTGTGTTGAGTTAAGTATTCTGTTAAACTTT